TCTTCACAAATTTTAATATTGCCTCCTTAAAAAAATAATTGCACCCCAAGAGTCTGATATTTGCTTATATAACCAATAAGTACTAGCCTATTTGAGTCCATTGTTGAGAGCTACGGAAGCCAAACAACCAAACCAACGTGCTACGAGAAATCAAATCAAACGAACGTCGAGAGAAGACCGAACGAACCAAATCAATGCCACAAACATAAACAACCAATTTTAACGTGGTTCGGCAAGTTGCCTACATCCACGAGGCAAGAAGAGGATATGGTTTTTCACTAATAGTGAAAAAGAGCACAAACTAAGATTACAAATTACTCAAACTCACCAATTAATCTCACCAACAAATCTCTAATTCTCTCCAAACAAAACCCTAACCAATAGCTCAGAAAATATCTCTTTTCTGTGCTCCAAATATCCTTAATTTTCTTCTTAATTCTCTCTTCTAATTATTCCATATATATAGAAATCCTAAAATCATAAACATACTAGGAATCCTAAAATAAAAAACAAAACAGATTAGGAATCCTAATAACCACTTACGAAAACAGATTTGGAATCATGGTACCAAAACAGATTAGAAATCCTAATAACATGTTACCAAAAAAAATTAGAAAACATATTAGGAACCTGCTATCCAATAATTCTCCACTTCGGCGAAGTTTTTTCAAAACTGAGCCGACACCAATACCAACCAAACGTCTCACTTGTTGCGTCCAGTATGAAGTGGAACAAATCCACGACAACGGACTCAATCCACAACAAGTCGAGAACCCAAACGAGAATGCGAACAAACTCCAAATATCGGTATCAACTCACTAAACCGGCTGTATCATAAATGGTTGTCTACGTATTCTCTTGCCCAATGAATCAAGATTTCACGTAGTTCACCCAAACAGCCTCCAAAGACCCTCAATCAAATAGAAAAGTTTACAACTCTTCATTAATATCACCAACGGATCTGCAACTGATAGCGCTCCTAATGGCCCCAAACTAAACAAATCAAACACTTCCACCTGAGGTGAACCAATGGCCGTATCCAAAACATATCCACCAACTGTACGCGAATCCAAAAACAACTCATCATCTGCATCCAAATCCAAATGATCTCCAAACCGTGTCACCTCAACTAGAATCCTAAACGATGCAATATGATTTGGAGTATGTGGAGTAATCTCTACCCAATGTGAAGTAGCATCACCCTCCACCCGTTACGATATCCCCATGATCTCATCAACACTCTCAACATGCCGAGAGTCAAATGTGACATACCTGCGCAGAATAAAATTAAAAGCTCCTAACTGATAATTAAACGAACCTCTGAATCCTAAACGTGCAATCGGATCAAATCTTACATCCTCGATGTGACCAAATGCTGAGCAACCAAATATCCGATACAACCCAAAATCTGAAGCAGCTCCACCAAATCCAAAATCTTCACATGCAGCAGTTGGCAACCTATGACCAAGATAACCCAAATATATTGAAGCTCCAAAACCAAAACCAATACTCGACAACCAACGTCGATCCCCTCTAGTAAGGAACGACCCATCAAAACTGTCTACTCATCTCGTCACCCTAATATCTCCACATCAATGAAGTGTCTCAAACTATCATGAGCTCGGCACAAATACAAGAAAGAATCCCTACCAAAGCTAAAACGACAGGTTACCTTTCTGCCAATACACTTCTTACAATTGTTATTGACTTCTAGGACTTCACACCAACGGGACCTGGTTGCAATCCATCAATACCTAGAATAATCCCTAACTGTGGAAACCAAATACCGATTACCTCCCAATGATGCCTCCTTGGAAGGCTCCCAAATACCTGACTGAACACCAGAAACCAAATACCGATTACCTCCCAATGATGCCTCCTTGGAAGGCTCCCAAATACCTGACTGAACACCACCTAAAAGATCCCTCGATCGATGGATAGAAGTGCCAAACTCCAACTCAGTCTTCTTGTTCATACCAATATGCTCAAAGGACTTCAATCTGCAGGTCAAAGTACTCTTCAACAAACCATGCACGGCATAACTAATCAAATAACCCAGCCTCAACAAATGTCACAGTCTAGCCAAATCCAAAGAAGTCGTCAGCTTTCTATCAAACACCATGCTCCCAATCAAATAATACAAATTATTCCTCCTGATGTCCTTCATCACAATCATAGACCCCCAATGTAATGCTCCCAATCAAATAATACAAATTATTCCTCCTGATGTCCTTCATCACAATCATAGACCCCCAATGTAACCTTCAAACGTGAATCGACCAAGATCACCCTATAGCCTGCTGCCTCCAAAACTCCAAGTGAAATGATGTTCTTCTTCAACTGAGGAATGAACCTCACTCTAACCAACTTCCGAATCACTCCGTGACTCATCCTAATCTGAACGGTACCAATACCACCAATAGGACATTCTTAATTATTACCCATGAGTATGATCTCCCCTCTTTCCAACTCCTAAAAGCTGGAGAACCAATTCCTCCTAGGGCAAATATGGTAAGAAGCACCCAAATCCAACATCCACTCTGTAGAGTCGGCAACACAAACTGACAGTAGTGCAAATAACGAGTAGCCCGAAGAATCTGAATCTGAATTATTGCCACTAGCCTTGACAACATTCACCTCTAAAGCTTAAATAGTGAATAGCTTTCCCCTTATTCTTCCCGGCTCGATCAACCAACTTTGGGCATTCGGCTTTCCAATGTTCATCCTCTTTACAAAAGGCGTACTGATTCCTACGAACTCTAAGATGTGCCCCTCTAGACTATGACCTCATACCACGGTTTGGACTATTTTCTCTTGCAACCAATGCCCCCACTTCCGGCTCAACTGAAGTCTCATTATCCTTCTTTCGAAGCTGATAATTCACAAGTGCAGCGGTGACTTCACTATAAGAAAGAGATGTCTTCCTATTAATAAGAGTAAGAACGAATGTCTCATATTCCTCGTCAAGCAAGGAACTCAACAACAATAACATCTCGTCCTCGTCTTCAATCATTACATCTACATTCGCCAAATCCGCAAAAAGCTTCGTGTAGTGGTTCATGTGATCACTAATGGAGGTCTCCTTCTTCAATTGGAAGCGACAAAACCTCCTCTTCAAATGCAAGCGGTTCTCTACACTCTTGGTCAAATACTTGCCCTCTCAGGATCTCTCAAATCTTCTTAGCCGAAGTCTCATTGATCACATCATATTTTAAATCTTGAGTCAAACAAGATCTAATCACACCACATACCGTTCTATTCATCTTTTTGCAAACCTTCTCCTCAATGTCGTCCAGTTTCCCGTCCAACTCCAAAGTATCTTCCAAATTTTGCGTATTGAGCGTATCCTAGACTTCATATCTCTAAAGATAAAAAAATTTTGTGCCATTAAACTTTTCCACGTCTATCTTCATAGAGTGGATATTCAAACTTTGGACGGTCTTTACGTCGGAAGTACCCTCCACAACTCCTTCTTTCCCGACCATCTTTCTCAAAGCACCAAAACAAATACGGAACAAATGAAAAATAGATATAAAACTAAAAAAGATAGAGTCTTTACCAAAAAGATCTCACCTTTATCACCAAACGAAGCCCTAGACGAGCCTCCAAAACGACATACTCCTCCAAATAGCCCAAGCGTAGCCCGAGCTCTGATACCACTTGTTGAGCACTGCGGAAGCCAAACAACCAAACCAACGTGCTACGAGAAATCAAATCAAACGAATGTTGAGAGAAGGCCAAACGGACCAAATCAATGTCACAAACACAAACAACCAATTTTAACGTGGTTCGGCAAGTTGCCTACGTCCATGGGGCAAGAAGGGGATATGGTTTTTCACTAATAGAGAAGAAAAGTACAAACTGAGATTACAAATCACTCAAACTCACTAATTAATCTCACCAACAAATCTCTAATACTCTCCAAATAAAGTCCTAACCAATAGCTTGGAAAATATCTCTTTTCTGTGCTCCAAATATCCCTAATTTTCTTCTCAATTTTCTCTTCTAATTGTTCCATATATATAGAAATCCTAAAATCATAAACATACTAGGAATTCTAAAAAAAAAACAGATTAAGAATCCTAATAACATGTTACCAAAATAGAATTGGAATCATGTTACCAAAACAGATTAGAAATCTCAATAACATGTTACCAAAACAAATTAGGAAAAATATTAGGAACCTGCTATCCAACTTACATTAGCATTTAATAACTCATTTCATTTGAGTTTAGCTTATAATTATATAACCAATAATTTTATTTTTATTTTTAAGTAAATAGTTACTTGCTGATCACGTGCTTATAAAAAATTTTCTGAATCCGCCACTGCTTATATTGGATTAGACAACTAACTATGAGTTATAAGATCTTAATTCCGAGATCTAGGTTACTAATTTTCTTCTTCTTACCTCCTCGTGATAAACTTCTCTCTCTCTCTCTCTCTCTCTCTCTCTCTTCCTCAATTTCTTTTCATGTGTATATTCTATCTATTTTGTATAGTCAATAAATAAATTTCCAAGTTATCTTGTCCGGGTTACTATAAAATAAAAAGAACAAAAAAATTGTTAGGCCTCTTGGCACTTAATCTGATGCAGTTGATGTTCAGTTCATTACTCTGTTTTCCCTTTCAATAGACGCTTCTGCTTCGTTAAAACCTTTCTCTGCTATGTTTCATCAAAATTTTCTGCTTCAATAATCACCTGCTCTGTTATCTTCACTTTTCAATCTACTAATATATTTATTCAGAAATTCTTATCAATCTCATGTTGCATGATGAGAAATTAATGCTGATGTGTTTTATCCGATCGGTTTGCTTTATTTTCCTTCACCATGGACATGGTTACAATTACAGATACATGATTTAGGTCGATAACTCGAAAAAGAATATTCTACCGAACTTATGAATCAGTTGAGATCCTAATTTTGAGCAAAAATCCGCCGGCAGATAGTAGAATCTGCTATCTTCAATGTAATCTGATTCACCTCGCCAGTTTCTGACTAGAAAAAGTTGGAACCATCAAAAGGGAAGTTAGGATCAAAATGCCCAGGATTGAAGTTTCCAAAGTCCATGTCCACCATCGGAGAATTCGTCGTGGAAGTCGCAGCAGATAAAATCTCTGTCAGTTCTCCACCATAATTGCTTGTCTGACAGAAATAATTCGAACCCGCGTACATAAAATTCGGAGAAAACTCCGAAGGAGAAGCGAACAGATTGCTCTGGGACTGCATACAGCTCGCAGGAGTCGAAGAGAAAGAAAATGAAGAGGAACTCGCAACATTTGTTGGGTCAATGTTGGGCTCCAATCCTTCCGTCTTGACGCTGAGACTTTCGCGCAAGCTCATGAGGCTCTGCTGAGTCGGCTTCGATGATGCTTGAGATTTCTGTGGCTTGTCGACGCAGGTGTGGGTCCCGCGGTAGGAGACGTCGAAGACTGAGGGGTCATTATCGGATCGCTGAACTTGCTTTGTTGCAAGGCAGCCTTGAGTGTTGCGGTGAGTGCAACGGTAGTAGCCCCTGAAGAACAAGAACAGGTTTAATTAATAAGCAATTACTTAAGCTAAGAAGCATTTAATGGGCTTGTGTTTGCTTACGTCATAAGAATGGATCTCCCTTAGGTTTTGGTTTCCTAACGAGTCAAGGTAAACATAAGCGATGTCTGAATCTAGAGAAGGAATTTTTAAAGAGGACTTGGAGCTGACCTTGACTCAGGGAGGGATGAAACTAAGATTAGAAAATTGTTAAAGAATTTTTTGTGAACATTAACTATATTATTTTCGCGCTATATTTCAAAATTTTAAATAAAAATCAATAAATGCTCAATCGAAGCACACGTGAGCAAGGTTTAGGGACCCGTGGCACTGTACTTTTGGGTACCAAATCAGTTCATTCCGATAAATAATATTTACCAGATTATACGCGAGTTGTACTACCCTTATACCGTAAGAAACAAAAGTATAACATTTGTATCAGTTTAGTTTACTACCAAAGTATGAGTCAAATCATAATTAAATAGGATTTTGTAATTACAAACCTTGGATACTTGGCACCCAAAATGTCCTTTTGCCCATACTTCCTCCAATTAAACCCATCATCAAGGGGCCCCTCAATCCCTCCCCCCAAACAAACCCTCACTTGGCTACTCCACTTGGGCAACCCCTTCCTCTTCTTGCACATCCCCTCCTCCTCCTCCCAGTTCTCGCTCCTCGGACTCTCGCTGCCTCCTGACTGCGGCGAGCTCGACCTCCCCTTCATATTCGTCACCATTGCGATCGCAGCCTCAAAACTCGACTGCACATTTTGCGCCAAGCATTTGCAAGACTCGACGTCCATTGGATCGGCGAGCTTTGCTTTGAGTTTTCTAGCTTCTTCTTCTCCTTGAGCTAGAACGCTCACTAGTAAGCTTGGATCCATGATTCTCAATGTGCACAAGCATGTACGAGGAAATACTGAGTGATGAAACTGATGAAGGAAATTTGTGGTGCGGGATTGAGTTTTTATATGGGAGAGAAGTTTGACTGAAAAAAGCGGGCTTTGAGTTTTTGTTTTGACCGGTCTTTGGTCATCAAGCAGATTGCTGACCAATTCTACTCTATAATTTGTTTTTGGCAAATTTTACAAAAAACCCCAAAACGTCTTGAGTTTTTCCTGCAAAACACTCCTGAACTTTTTTTTTTAATTCAACTAAACCTACCTAAACTTTCGAGTTTTTCCTAAAAAACCCCTGGGCTTTCCTAATTCCACTAAACCCTCCTAACCTTTCAAATTTTTCAATGGACCCTAGCAGTGTTAATGATGTTGTTGGCTATTATTTTGATTGCATATATAGCTTATTTATCCTTTTAACGCATTCAAGGGTTCCATGGGAAAATTCAAAAGTTTAAAAAGTTTTTGTAAGACACCTCAATTTAAGTTCAGGAGTTTGTTTCACGCCCCAAAGTTTTGAGAGATTTTGTGAAGTCTACACATTTTCCTTTTCCAAGTTGCGTTAGACTTCAATTGAAAAGAGGGTCAGAGGTTAAGAAACTGACGGAGAATTTTCAAAGCGAGATCCGCGTTAGAGGGAAAGTTAAGTGTGTAATGAGAGGTGAACCAATTGAAATTGGCCCCCTTTGGATACGTTTGTGACGGGTACCAGTCTAATCTAAACTTTAGACCAACATGTGAGCATCAAAATAAAGTGCAAAACGAGTTGGAGTCACCTTGTACAGTGCATAATAATGCCTTGGTGCCTAAATTATAAGCCCAAATAGAGCTTTTCAAAAATTATCTCAGTAGTATTTTATGGAAATCAATTTCCTCTCCAAATGAGAGTAAACTGCCTAGAAATCTGACATAAATATTAAAAAATAATTAAGTACATCAGTACTATTCCCCATGTGATTTCACATGGACATTGTTAGCAATCTATTTTCTATAAAGTGATATCTAACCAAACAAAATAAAAAGAAAAGCAACATATTTTCTATGAAGTTAGGAATTTTTTGATACTTTGAACCAAACAAAGAAATAGCAAAAAACAAGAATTATGGTACTCTTTGAGTTCTGTAAATTTTTTCTACAAATTTTATAGAACTACAAGGAAATTAAGTTTTGAGCACATTTCTTTTTCCTTTTTTTTTATAGAAATTGCACCAAACAGCCCCTGATAATAATTTTTGGAGAGAAATTCAACCCGCCTTAAAGCAAACGGGCCTAAACAGAGACTATGAACCAACTTTAACCAAAAAACTACAACTACTAAGTATTTACCCCGACTTATATTTTAGACTCATAACTATTTATTATCATATATCCAGCCTAAAATCATACTCACACATGAATACTCAACGTCACTTTCACCAAAAGCTGGTCTGGAAGAATGTATAGGTACAGATATCCTCTTGGAGAATGACACATGGTGTTGGCTTTTGCCTCTTGGAGAAATAAGACGATGCGCTAGATCTGAGGAAGGAGCGATCTAAGCATACAATATGCTATTTGATCTGAAAACCTTGTATGGATTAGGCTGCTTGGGCCTTAGCTCTGGGACTATATGGTGAACCAGGTTCTCAACCTACTCAGAATAACAAGTTAACAATGGATTCGGATAATTTCCACTATAAAAAAAATATTGGAGAGACTACTATATTATCGTAACTGTTGATTATCTAGTAGATTATTATGATTTTTTAGTACAAATTTGAAACGAGTACAATACATGATGACATGATGAGTATTAGATCCATCGTTTCTATATAAAGAGAAATTTGTGGAGTTCCTAAAGCCACAGAAAATTGACATGTGTTATATGATAAAGATATGAAAAATTAACATGTGTCATATAATAAGTATCCATATGCGTATTAGAAGATGACATGAGGACAACTAATCTTATATTCATCAAAAAATTCTCTTCAAATTAAGACTGACCATAATTAGCAAATTTTAATAACCAAATATTTTACAATCCCGATCAAATTATAATTATCATAAATAAAAAATCTAATAATTAAATATTTATATATAAAAATTAAAGGAAAAGACCTCATATAAAGAGCCTCTCTGTATAAAATCATGAATTAATTTTTGAAAATTCCCTCAACTATTTTAATTTGAGAAAACCCCTACAAGTTTGAGCATATTGTATATAAGGGCCTGTTTGGTTATTTCCTAAAAAACCAAAAAATAGAAATGAAAATCAAGAAATCTCAAAAAGTATAGTTTCACACATTTCCATCCCTAAAACTCACCCATAGCATCTAATAAAATATTATTTTTATCCAACAACTCATCCACCATATCTAATAAAATATTATTTTCATCCAACAACTCATCCATCACATCCACCACATCTAATAAAATATTATTTTCATCCACAACATCACTCAACTCATCTCATCTCATATTTAAAAATCACTCACATCATCCAATAAGATTGTGACAACTCATCTCATCACATTAACATTTCATTTCTTTGTTTTCCTCCCAAAAAGCTAGGAAAACAATTTCCTTAAGTGTGGGTCACATCGTCTAATAATATAATGACAACTCATCTCATCTCATCTATTTTCTTATTTTTAAGAAATAATCAAACAAAAGAAAACAACCTATTACAAGAAATAGGTTTCTTATAATCCATTTCCTTATTTTTTCGCCAACTAAACAACATCAAAACAAGTTTTCTTATAAAATCACTCACATCATCCTATAATAAGGTGACAACACATCTCATCTCATCTCCATTTCTTTGATTTCCTTCTTTTTTTAGCCAACCAAACAATCCCAAAACCTATTTTTCTTAGAAATAGGTTTCCTTTTCTTTGATTTCCCTCTTTTTTTAGGCAAACAAAAGCAGCAGATCCTTGTGCACAATGCTCCAAAGTGTTGCGTTACTATATCGTGTCTTACCATTATCCCCTCTGCTCTGTTCCTTTTTTTTTTACTTTTTTTTTCACATAGACCCTTAATTGTTCTGTAATAGCATGTGAATACTGGGAAGCTTTACGTTTCCAATTTGACGCCTCAAAATATTTGCTTTGGTTAAAAAAAAGGCGACCATTTTGTTATTCTACGTTTACCGGTCAGAATATATTGGGAATATCTCTTAATTATCTATAGCTGTTTTTCGATATCCAAATAACATGAGACGCGGATTTGAAAATATAAATATGAGCATGATTCTGGATACTCCTTGAATGTAGTAGCGTAGTGTTTGGTGGGAAAATTCGAAGAAGACAATTGAGAATTAAATTTGTATTATTCTCTCTGACAGACTGAGAAAAAGAATTAATTACAATTATCTCGATACAACTTCTTTCTAACAGACTTAGAAGAAAAATTACAAATCTTCTTGATCAGTTTCCCGATTTACAAAAGAGAGAAGGGATCGACGGAGACCATTCCCTTTGTTTAACCTGAGTTCTTCTTGATGTCGATGGAATGCTTCCCTCGAATACTTGCGTCGAGTTTATTTCCATTGACGATCCAAACGCTTCACCTCGTGGAACGTTGTCTTCGCCTCTTGACTCGATGTCTTGGACGAACTTGCAAAGCAAGTTTTAGAACTCTGGACGAGTTTAGAAGAACTTGCAGGGCTAATACTAAGGATCGGACGGGTGATGAAGGCTCTGATCAAGACCTCTCCTCTTCTTGTTGAAGCTCACGGCCACTCTTCACTGCAGCAGGGCTTCGCCAAGGCTCTCCAAAAATCCTCCCCTTTTCCAAAGGCCCAAGGGGGCTATTTATAGGCATATGAGAGTGTGTAGGGGACCTCTAGGGGCTTAGACACCCCTGGGGTGTCTCCAGAAATCCGAGACACCCCTGGGGTGTCTCTAGAAATCCGAGACACCCCTAGGGGTGTCTCGGATTTTCCGAGACACCCTTGGGTGTCTCGGAAATTCCGAGACACCCCTGGGGTGTCTCGGAATTTCTGAGACACCCCTGGGGGTGTTTTGGAATTCCGGAGACCCGTTGAGGTGCATTCGATTGTTTTCCCCGTAGATTCTTCGTCCGAACTCGGATTTGAGTGATTCCAGGTGCGTTGGATGCTTGACGAAGAGTTCGATCCGCTCTGGTGGTTGGATTATCTGTAGAGTGGTCGAAGCACGAAGGGCGTTGTCCTTTTTGTGAACAGTGCTGGGTTCCCGATTGGTCCGGGTCTTGGTTGTTCCGAAATCCTATAAGCTCACGTAGCTCGTCGATTCACTTCAGTCGTTCGTCGACGTCAATTGGACTCATGTAGCTCGGATAGTGACGTTCATCGTCGCTCTTTAACACTGAACCGTTCATAGTGACGTTCATCGTCGCTCTTTAACACTGAACCGTTCGTGGAGACCTATAGGCAATTTTCAATGCCTACAGACACTCTCGGGTGTATTCGATTGTGTCACGAACCATCGTTGGCCAAAAATATCCCATTCTCCTGATGCGATCATATAGTTTGGGACCAGGCTGATGCGCACCACATTCTCCTTCGTGTGCTTCCTTAAGAACTTCTTACCCCAACAAGAAGAGATCATCCTAATTTTCATTTATTTTTAAAGAAACTATCAACAAAAAAGCAACTGCTATACAAGAAATGGTTTCTTATTAAACCATTTCCTTATTTTTTTTCGCCAACCAAACAACATCAAAATAAGTTTTCTTAAAAATCCACTCACGATCATCCCTATAATAAGGTGACAACCAATCTCATCTCATCTCGCATTTCTTTGATTTCCCTTCTTTTTTCTTAGCCACCAAACAATCCCAAAACCTATTTTCTAGAAATCAGGTTCCTTTTCTTTGATTTCCCTCTTTTTTTAGCAACACAAACAGCCCCTAAACCGCCTCAACTATGAAAATTTTGAGATCAGACCCCTTAAACTTTTTTTCGCTTAACTGCCCCTTAACATACGGCAGGTTCTTAGAAAACCCTCTCAACTTATTTTAAT